CATTAGAAGGCACAGAGATGATAATGTAAAAATTTAGATCATTTATGGATTGTTTATAAATGTACAAACTAATTACTTTCATTAGTCATCCTGAACTGTTGCAGGTTTCATTTCCCACCAGGCCAGCTGCGCCTTTTAAAGTACAAATAGTCATTTGTATTAACTATTACAGGAAGAAAGTGGCTTCGGCTGGAAGAATTCAGCAACAGAAACACTCTTGAGCTTATAGAAATAACTTTGGTAAATGGCCTCTCTTAAAAAGGCCGCTGAAAGCTCTAAAGTATGCGGATAAAACATATGGTATCAGACTGTGCACTCTGCAGCTATGAACTACATCTTGATGAGATTAAGATGCTACATTGATTCCTGGGTTTATTGCACCAACAATCCATCTCTAACCTACCTGTGGCTGCATCTGCAACAAGGTAAACTCCAAGAAGATGTGAAAACAGTGGGTCCCTAAAGCACTCTCTTCCCAACGGTCGATCCTCTTTCCTGTTTCGCATCAGGTGGTAACTCCTGCGGCTAGCGGACAGGAAGATGGCACAGTGTGGCTTGCTTTCTGTCACCTTTTGTAAACAGCAAACTCTGCCCTGGAATTCAAATCCCTCGTTCTGTCTTAGAACAGCAAATCACACTTTCTCCAGCTTGGAGAGCTCACGCTGAAACTCTGAAACACTCTCCTACTGGAATCCTATGTACACTGCTTACCCCCGCTCCAAAGTCACTTGCCCTTATTCTGCCCAAACACATAGGCGCTCTGTACCGACAGCTTAGTGTTTAGTGTAGTGTTATGTCTCCTCCTGCCCAAAAAGTCACTCTCTGTTGATTCATGGGTAACAAAAGGCCGAAAGTACTCATGAAAAACACAAATGCCATTATGTCAAGTAAACCTAAGTCGTCCAACGAGGCATCCACTTGAAGCAACAAAACAAAACAAAACAAAGCAGTGGAATGACTGTTTCTGTTTGCTCTTCTCATGCTTTTGACGTCACAGAGAGCTTATTCCTTTCGCCTTCGGTTCAGAATCTGATTTTCTTTTTTTCTTCCAAGGAAGAACTGTCCTGAGCTTTAGCTTATAAGAGTATTTGAGCGACGTAAGGAGAATGAGTACTGGCAATAGCAGTCAACAGGGGCAGGTCGTTTGATTCAATCCTAAATATTGAAAAAAGAAAAGAATGTTAAAGTAGCATAATTTCACAGGAAAGTATTATTGCTAGATACCAAGCTTGCCAGAGGATTGCTTAAAACTAATGACAATGTAAGAGATGGAAAGATGATAAACTTGTTCTTTTAATGTGATCTCCCAGTGATGCCGCCCAAGGAAGCGGAGGAAGATGCCAGTGTGCTGTGCCTGTGGACACAAGGCTGTTCTTCCCATGGGCAGGGGTCACCCAATTTTAAGCCCATAACTTTTCTATATTCCCCGACAATTACGGTTTTCTCCAGTGGCTGAGTCATTCTGAGCGCATGCTGAGCCCATGGTGAGGTTCCACACCTGGGCTCAAATCAGTCTTAGGACAATGATGAAGGTGGGAGCTTTTTCAGAACACTTGAGGATTTGTTCAACAGGTTACACAATTTAGATCCTCACTAAGCATCTGAGCCACAGCATTCTGAGAGCAAAGTAACACTAATAGATACTGAGTCAAGAGACATCACAGCATCAAATGGACGTGGCTTTGGCTCCCTCTCTTACAGCAGAGGCGGATACAGTGTGGTCACTGGCTGAATGCTGCCAAATGTCCTGAAAAAAATTAGGACTGCTTCGGTCTATGGAATATGTCCTATTTTTTCCCCCTTGAATTCCAAAAATGAAAAATTAAAAATAAAATTTAAAAAGGTAGCTGCCATTACTTCATGGAATTTTCTATGCCTTCTCCGGTAACGCTCCCTACAGATCTCCCTTCAGGGTGGATGAGAAGTTCTTCAGTACCTTTTGTGCCACTGGCTCTGACTAGAAGAGGAAGGGGCTAGAGAGGCTGGATGTGACCCCCACGAATCATGCACTAAGAAGACCTAGAGATGAGAGAGGTAAATAAACCCTTTTGGTCTTTCTAACAGTGTCTATGGACACCTGCCAGCCAGGGAAAGATCCCAGAAGTACAAGTCACACACCTGGCAGTGGGGAGCCTGGTGAGCAGGACTAACGTGGGAAGCTGGTAAAGAGACCGAAACAAAAACTAGGAATAACAACAGCAACAACAACAAAGAGATATGTGGCAAGTTAACTGCAAAAGCAAATGCCTAAGAAGGGAAAAATATTTTTGGAATAAAGTATGGAAAAAAATCTATGATAGGAAATGCCAAGAGCCATAGTACCCTAAGTCACATCCTGGGTGTGAAAGATGGAAAAGTCTGGCAAGAATGCAAAGACCCGAGCCTTGACATAATACTTTGGTTAGCAGGCTTGATGGAGAATTTCAAGGATGACATCATATATGCAAGATTTGCTTGCTCAAAAATTAGGGGAATCCTCATCATAGTGAAGGCAGTCAATTCCCCATAAACGGGGTCTTTTAGTTAGTTTTCTGTTGAAAAATTAAGCAGAGATGAACAAAAGTCAATTTCTTCTCCGAGAGAAGTTCTGGCAAAGACCCTGTGAGGACGATGTACATTAGCAGTAGCATCAGTATATCTCCTCTTCCAAGGGGCCTGTGATGAGGGAGGGGAAAGTACCGCCCCCCCGCAAACATGCAGGTGGCCCTGAAGGTCCAGGAGCGCGGCCTTCTTTGCCTCCTCCAGGGAGCAAAATGCAATTCTGACAGGCTGCGCCTTTGACGTCTTACTGAAATGACTAGACAGGGGCAGGCCGAGTGGGACTAAATTTTTCACTTTCAAGCATAAAATAATCCGGGGAGAAGACTAACATCAAGTACTACTAGCTTAAAGTTCTGTGCTTGTTTCTCAGTCTGGAACTCCAGCATCAGAGATACGAAGAGGGGAAGGAAGGAAGCCGCAGAGGCACACATCTGATGACTGTTCAGTGGGGCGCCAGGGCCCACAGGTGCCGGGTGACGCAGGCCGCGTGGGTGAGTGGGTGCAGCGCTGGGGTCAGCCCCAGCGTGGGGAGGGATGGCGGTGCGTCACAGAACTCACCCCAGGACGACACCTAATTCTTTCACATGGACTCGTGTGTGACCACGCAGATACTCAGACAGCATCTTACTTTTCAGGTACATCTCCTGTAGTCTGTCTTCAAGATGCATGATGCACTGGGGAGCCAAGAACATTCACAATGAGGGCCGGTATCCAAATCTCTGCCAGAATCTCAATATTCTAAGAGCTGGAATTCTCTTAATTCCTGTCTAAGTACACAGCTATAGCCTCATTCCTTTCAAATACGCGTAAATATTACAGACCATACCAAACCCTACCACTGGTGGGTATAAGAAAAGGTTTTTATAAAACAACAGTTTACTTTTTCTAATGACTAAGATTTTCATACATATCTGCTAGTCTTTTTTAAAAAGCATTTTTAACATAGCTGAAATCATTCTGTAAGTGTATTTATTTCCTGCTTTTAAACAACTTTACAATAATCCTTTCCCCATGTTATTAATAAATCTTTATCAATGTGATTTTTATGGCAAAATGACTTTTGAGAATGCACATTATCATTATTTGCATATCCACATGGCAATCTGAGTTTTGTTACCATAGTTTTTTAAAGAACATCTTTGTTGTTGTTTTCCTGTATCTCAGATTATTTTGGCGAAATACATCCACCAAAGTAGAGCAAATGGAACAAGGTCACTTTAAATTTTTTCTTTTGGGTTTTGCTCTCAAGAGCGCATTTTAACTAGGTCTTTAATAACAATAAAGAAAAGGCAATTATTCTCAGGACATCTCTACCCTTGGAATTGTGTCCAACTTCATTTTTTAGAGAATAGCAACCATCTGTGTCTTTCACCAGAGGCAAATGCTTTTGCATTTGGCAGGCAGAGCCATCCAAGCCTCTTCAGTAAGACACCTGACGGCTTTGGCAAGGGTAATTCCATCATACATAATTTCTTCTAGACCATTACGCCTGTTATCTGCAAGGTAAAAAGATTAACAGATCCATTTGAAAATGTTGATCTTGACCATCTGGGCTGATCAGTGACATGGAAAAAGTATCTCTTCGAGATGCAATCTTACAGTTTTTCATTGGCTTAAAAATCTTTTACATGCATTGTGTTGAGAGGAGGAACAACAACTGGTAAGTGACTAATAATTAAAGCAAGGAGGGTTTCACCAATTCTCACCAGTTACGTGGTAAAAGGAGCTCCTGTTAAGTTTCCGTTTCTTATAGAGTGAACACAAAGTTTTTAATATGAGTGTTATAAAATATTAAAAGGAACATTCACATGATGTTGAATCTTTTGTTTTAAATGGTTAATTTACACTGTTTTCATAGTCCCTATGAAAGCTGTATGTTGTACTGTGGAAATGAAGAGAACACTGGTCTATATGGAATGTATACTAAACTCAAAATCAAATCATTTAGAATTATTTTTATGAAAGGTTTCATTATCAAATAGAACCACTTTGGGCTCCACCCTCCCCTTTTTCTGGGATTTTATTCCCGAGATGAATTTGTTTAATTTTTAGCTTCTGAAATTTTAAATAGCTACTTTCTCTTTTCATAATGAAGTCTCTCATAGTCATTTACTCTTGTGTTTTAGTCAAGCGATTTTTAGGGAGAATTTTAAACTGCAGATGAAGTTTTCTTTGATCTTGGTTTTTGTCAGGTTAAATAAGTCATTCTATTCCTACTGCTGAGTAGCTAAACATGCTTCTGCCAAAAAAACAAAAACAAAAAGCAAAAACAAACCAAAAAACATACTTCTGTCTATATGAAGTAAAAATAATTAATTATAGTGATTTATTGCTTGGATAACTAAGATGTCAAGTGTAATAAGAGCTATGTATTACAGAATAAAATATGAAACATGGCAAATACTTAAAATAGTAAAAAGTAAAAGTATAAAATCTAATATATCTTTCTTTCCTCATAGAAAAGGAAAGTTGAGCCACTAAACCAGCATGATGCAGCTTGCTACTAGAAAGAAAAACTGACCGCAAATACAGAACGAAAGTAAGGCCGTCATAACTCATCAGTACTTCTCACATCACCCCCTGGGACAGAGGTCCTGTGAGAGCATGCTTCAGTCTAAAGCCCGAATAAATATTTTGGTGAAAAGGCACTGTCAGTCTTTACAACCACTAAGATTATTCATGAAACTAATTATTGTCAGCATTCACGCTAACAGTACCTGTTTCCTGCGAGCTGATCACATGTAACACTATCCCGAGTGCTTTGCCTGAATCATCCAATTTCATTTTCATAACCACATGAGATAAGCTCTATTATTTGCTCAGCTTTACAGATGGGGAAATGGAGACCTTGAGAAGTCACACAGTTAGGAAGTAGTGGAGCTTGGTCTAGGATATGACCCTAGACTACTGGACCCTAACGGTCATGCACTGGCCATGGCTGTACCCGGACTGGTAAAGTATCGCATATGGGCACGGTGCTTTAGTAGTTTAAAAAGCAGTATCTCAGACCAAATTTTCAGAGCCTTCTCACAAGATGTGCAAAGGATACTATCTGTTTTACAGCTGAGACAGCTGAGGTTCGGAGATGCTGAGGACTATCCACAGTTACACAACTCGTCAATGGCGAAGCCTAGGCTTTAACCTGGCTGCACTGAGGGGTCCCTCTGTCACGCCACACTGGCACGACAACTACCAGTACCTCAGATCCCCTTCTTTTTAATGTTTGTTTATTTTTGAGAGAGAGAGTGAGAGAGAGGGAGGGAGACAGAGAGAAAGAGAGACAGAGAGAGACAGAATACAAATGGGGAAGGGGCAGAGAGGGAGATACAGGATCTGAAGCAGGGTCCCGGGTCTGAGCTGTCAGCATAGAGCCTGATGTGGGGCTCGAACTCACAAACAGTGAGATCACGATCTGGGCCAAAGTCGTACGCTTAACCGACTGAGCCACCCAGGTGCCCCTCAAATCACCTTCTTGAAGGCCAGGGAAGTCTTAACTTTCTGAGGAATGTGGTGCATCAGTAGGTCACATCTCAGAACAGTTACCAGTCTTTTCACGGTTAGTGTAGGTCCTTCATATTCAGCTTCCTACTTTGGTATTAAGCAGCTCTGTATCTCCTGTGCAGGTAATGGATGGACAGATGGATGCTCTGGTCTGGGAGCATACTGCAGAGGGCAGCCGAGTGTGGGGGGCAGAGCAGAGAAGGTGGGCGCTCTTTCACCTCAGTGCAAATCCCCAAGGTCAGCTCACTTTTGCTCTTCCTCACTATATGCCGTGAAGCCTCTCTTCCGCTTTTGAGACCTTTCTCCCTCCCTCTCAAACTATATTTTCTCTCAGTCTCTCTGCAGATAAACACACATTTTTTTTATATATATTCATTCCAGTGACTGGGGGAGAGCTGTTGATCATTTTCTAGGAGTTTATGGGCTCTATTTATTGTCTTTAATATAATGTTATGAAATCAATTTTAAAATCCCATCTGAAAAGGAACACAACGATACCATCTTCTATGGGTATGGTACTTCAAAATTTTAAATGTTTACACAAACGATATTCCATTTCATCCTTAACAATTTTATGAGAATGGTCCCTGAACAAAAGGAACTAGAATCCCTTCAGTGGCTGGCTTGTTGATGTTGATACAATAAAAGGAAAACAAATGAGTTCTCCAAATGAAGAATTTAAATGTCCTTTTATGCTTATTTCTTTGGCCATATTCCTTTCTCAAAAAGATTTCAGTGTCATTCTGTGTCGTTTCATGGAAATAACTATCACTACTGAAATCTATCCTGTTTGCTGGTTTTACGTTGTGTGTTCAATTTTTACTTATGCTAACGTCCAATTATACTAAAAACAATACATATCAGTATTGTTAAGTGTTTTGTTTTTCCTTAACTGTATTTCTATGGTAAGATGAGAACAAGTACTTACAAAATCCGCAGGGAGGTGAAGCTTGTAAAGCTGTAAGATGGAGTGAAGCAAACTGGACACCTGACTAGAGACCAAGACATCCTGGCCCAGTTTCATGCTGTCCGTCACTTTCCTCTGACTTGTGGCTACCTGGACACTCCACTTATCCGTGTCTGCAATAATACAGACAGCTTCGGCTATCGGCTCATCAAGTACTGGATGCTGGAAGAGAAACACAGTGGGTCAACGTTTCACAACCCTGCCAGGGGCACTCAAAACATCCAGTAGCATTAGTCTAACAGTTCAGAAGCTGCTGGTGGGAGCTGCAGATATTTAGGGTGTCATCATGACTAAAATAGGAACATCATCAAATCATCATTTAAAATTAACATGATCAAAACTGCATTCAATCAATATTTCTTTCTTACACCCAGAAGGTATGCTGTAAGTGTTGTTGACGTTCATAGATAAGTGAAAAAATAGTGCCCTCCCTATATTCCAAGAGACTAAAATTCCTTTCCTTTCTCTTATTTCTTTAAAAAAAATTTTTTTAACACTTATTTATTTTTTTAGAGACAGAGAGAGAGCACAAGCAGGGGAGGGGCAGAGAGAGAGGGAAACACAGAATCTGAAGCAGCTCCAGGCTCTGAGCTGTCAGCACAGAGCCCAATGCAGGGCTCTAACTCACGAACCATGAGATCATGATCTGAGCTGAAGTCAGATGCTTAACCCACTGAGCAACCCAGGTGCCTCAGATTTCTTTCCTTTTGAAAGACTACACTCTCCTTGTAAAATGGAGAAAATCTGAATAAGGTGTAATATTCTATTGCCATTTCTCCAAAAGAAGGTTAGGCAGGGTAACTTAATATTCCCTTAAAGTTATAGATTTAATCATTAAGCAGTATTTATTTAGTGACCATGTGCTACATACATAAATCAACTCTACCAACATCTAGATGAGGCCACAAGGCCAAAGGATGGCTACTGATGAATAACTTAAAATGCAAAATCCTTGGTAACTATGTAGTGATGGAAAAGCAGGCTGGCAACTGGTAAACTGTGCCACAGGGCAAACAGGGTCAGGCAGTCAAGGAAAAAAAAATCTAATGTCTTGAAACTGATCAAAGTATAACTGCTTCATCACCAGCACGTGGTGTCAGGGCAATGTGGCTCATTGGTGGAGGTCATGGATGGAAGATACTCCACGCATGACTTATTTTAGAAGGCTGCAGATCCAGATATGATAACAAAAAGGGACAGAGAAGTTGGCTCAATTATTCTAAAAGGAGATACTTAATGCATATGAGAAACATATAAAACAATCAACCAAACATGAAACATGAGCACGACCCTTATTTATTTATTTGAGCCAAAAATCAAAAGTCTTACACTCCAAAGACTGAGCCACGTAGGCACCTCAGCATGAGTCATTTTTAAATCACTGGATCAAAGAGGCAGAATCTAGGGTGGAAATCAGAGGAAAGACTGAAGACAAAGGATCCAAGGGTTGGGACAAACTGATAGGAATCTGTGAGCCCATTCCTAGGTGGGGGCTGAATCTCTTCTGCCTGTATCCTTAGCCCCTAGCACAGGGCCTGGCATTGGAGAAATGTTACTAAATTAAAATGAGACTGGTTAGGGGTGCCTGGGTGGCTCTATCAGTTGAGTGTCTGACTTCAGCTCAGGTCATGATCTCGTGGTTCATGAGTTTGGGCCCTGCATCAGGTTCTGTGCTAACAGCTCAGAGCCTGGAGCTGCTTCAGATTCTGCGTCTCCCTCTCAACCTGTCCTCCCTTGCTCACGCTCTCCATTCAAGTAAATAAACATTAGAAAAAATTTTTTAAAGAATAAATGAGACACGTTACACAAGCCCATGACAGAGTTAAGGAGCATCCTGCATTCCCTAACACAGCACGGTATTGCTGACTTTTATGTTTACAGGTTCCAGAACAGAGAAGAACCAGCCGAACATTTACAGAAGAATACCTTAGAAGAAATACTGGAAGCATTACATTCTCAGGTTACTAAATGTCTAACATAGAGCTCCCTGAATATAGCCAATGGGCAACCCAATGTCTCCATCTAACTATATCATTTAGTAGCTACTCACTTATTTACTGAACACTTTTTAAAGGAAGATGGAAATGGAGGAAAATGTAAATAGTCAAGAAAAAAAGCAATAAATGCTGAAATGATAAAAAAAAATATCATGAGCAGCTACTTTAGCTACAATTTAAGGGGCTCCAGGGCTACTGGCTGCCCATCCCTGAACTTGTCTACACTTCTGGAGGTCAGAGAGTTGAAGCTTAAGTTTCAGTGATTCTAGAAGTTTCTGATACACATCTTTCCAAAGAAAACACAACCTCACTAAAGAGAAGGCAGTTTAAACATATTATGATTTGGCTTATTAGTCAATCTCTAAGTTTTTAGAATTTAAAGAACTCTAAGATCCAGAAGACCATGTCTGGATTCACTACAGAAATACACACCCACACACACCCTATGTGCTGGTATTCAATTTAAAACTCCTCTTAGAAAACGCTCTACTTTAAAGGCACATATACAACTACAATAAACAAATAAAAAATTACATGTGTGCTTCTTTTCAATACTAACTTATTAGCCATATCTTAATCATAGAAGTAATAGTGAAATCTGTCAGAGAGATTTTTTAAAAAATGTTTATTTTTGAGAAAGAATGAGAGAGCATGAGCCAGGGAGGGGCAGAGAGAGGAGACACAGAATCCAAAACAGGCTCCAGGCTCCAAGCTGTCAGCACAGAGCCCGACACGGGGCTCAAACTCATGGACCATGAGATCATGACCTGAGCAGAGTTAATGCTTAACCAAGTGAGCCACCCAAGTGCCCCCAAACACTTTTTAAAAAATGTTTTATTTTTTGAGAGAAAGAGAGAGAGGAAGAGGGGGTGGGGAGAGAACACATGCTAGAGCAAGCGGGGGAGGGGCGTGGGGGACAGTAATCTGAAGCAGGTTCTGCACTGTCCGGATGACAGCAGCAAGCCTGACACGGGGCTCGAATTCACGAACCATGAGATCATGACCTGAGCCAGAGTCGGACGCTCAACTGATGGATCCACCCAGGTACCTCTGAAAGATCCAAACACTTATTAAAAGCCTGACCCACCCATCTGCTGTCCTTAGGGCTTGAGTTTGGGCATGGAGACTAGAAAAAAAGAAATGGGCAGGAGAGGCAAGGCATGGCTGCATCCTGAT